TCTTTCATGAAAAAAATACAGATTTTCCAGAATTGTGACTTCATCAAAGCAGGTTAGGTTAGTGTCTGGCGAGTGAGAAGAAAAGAGTTTTACTTCTTCCACAGAAATCAAAACTAGCTCAGAGCCTAAGAAAGCACTGCAGGGAATCCCAGCAGGCATCCATGAACATGATTAACAATAGCACTTTAAAGTTGTACATTTTCAAATTATGTGTGAGGCTTTAACTCCTGAAAAATGGGATGAAAATCATGTGGCTAAAGGTCATGCAATGCTGTGAAAATTCAGAAGATTAGGATCATTTGATTAGGTGACATGAGAACCGTAAGATCAACGCATCTGTAATTCCAAGTTTCAGGATAATGGAAATTTATAAGGCTCTTTATGTCAAGAGATTGTAAACAGCTAGAGGAGTGCAGAGAGTGAGTTCACAGAACACTGCAATGCGTGGGTAGATGCATCTACAGGTGTGTGAATGTAAGTGAAGTAAGACAATGGGAATAGATTTTGTCCTTTTTCCCACACAGGCCTCTTTTGCACGTTCATTATGTTCCCATATGTTGTAGTATGGTACTCAAATACACAGTGTTTGTCTACAAGTTGTAATAATGGATTCTATTACAATTAAGAGTTTTGACGGGTGCGTATCACAATTATATAGGCCTATTATAAATACTCCATCAAATACCTGCTGTCATAGTTTCACCCCATCCAGCAGCCAAGCCCTGCGCAGCCGCTTGCTCACGCCCCCACCAGCAGGACTGGGGAGAGAATTGGAAGGGTAAAAGCCAGAAAACTTGTGGGTTGAGATAAAGACAGTTTAACTGAGAAAGGAAAAGCCATGCAAAGCAAAACAAGGAATTAATTCACCGTTTGTGAGAGGGAAAGCAGGTGTTCAGCCATCTCCAGGAGAGCATGACCCCATCACCTGTAATGGTGACTTGGGAAGACAAACACCGTCACTCCAAATGTCCCTCCCTTCCTCCTTCTTCCACCCACTTTATACACAGAGTATGATGTCATATGGTATGGAATATCCCTTTGGTCACTTTGGGTCACCTATCCTGGCTGTGTCACCTGTCCTGGCTGTGTCTCCTCCCAACCTTCCATGCACTACCAATTCCTTGCCAGCGTGGCAGTACAAAGAGCAGAAGAGGCCTTGGCTCTGTGTAAGTCCTGCTCAGCAATAACAAAAATATCTCTATATTATCAACCCTGTGTTCAGCGCAAATCCAAAATATAGCTCCATACTAGCCACTGTGAAGACAATGAACTCTAGCCCAGCTAAAACCAGCGGACTTATGTATAAAAATTAGAATCCTAAAATATTACCAATATTGCGGATAAAAATAATTACTGATGTTAACAAAAGAATAAAGAAGGTGATAAGAAAGTAAAGGTTTTAGGTAATATTCACCTCAACTTTAGCTGTCTGAACTGAGGTTTCGGTCTAAGGTAGTTGTTTCAGCTTCTAAGGCAAAGCCCATATGTCTATATCCACTTAGATGCCCATCTTACTCATCCCATTTTTCCTCTCCATAGTTCACCTTCTGAAGGCAGCTCCCTCCACTCTATCATCCCCTTTTTTTTTCTTTTCTTTTTTTCTCCAGGACTTTCTTTAGAGTCTGTTCATGGATCTTTTCTTTACTTTTTTTGTTTTTAAATTTCTGGACTCTTCTCCCTTCTGTGCTGTTTTTACTTCTCTTTAGCAGTCTTGCTTTTTTTTTTTTGCCAGAAGGAAGAGGAATTAGTGACAAATGGGTGAATCCCAGATGTTTGGTTCCTTATCTGAAGTCTCTTACATTATGAACTTTTGTATTTCCAAAATTGGCCTGCAAAGTTCATGAGAACAGAAAACTCATGAGAAAAGACTGTCTTGCATGATTTTGAGTGTTTTCCCCTTTTCATTTGGCAAAGGATAGAATTTGAATAGAGGACTTTGGCGCTCTTACTTATAAACATTGCCAGAAACTGGAAGCACAAAGGCATACAAAACTGAAGTAAAATGAAAATAAATTAGCCAAGGGTTTTGAAGCTAAAAATAATTTGGTTTGCAGAGTTCAAGTTTTAAGAAAATGTTCAAGGTCAGGAGCTGGAAAACATCTAATTTGATATGGCTTTAATTTACCCATTGATACAGGTTTTTTTAACTTTTACAATTTGGACCTTGTATCCAACAAGAAAGAAGAGTGGTATTTATCCTGTCAAATTTCTGCCTGACTGGGTATCAGCAAGCTCTGTTTTATGTGCTGGATGCAGTTCTTACACCATGGAAGTGATGATCTCTGTCATAAAAAGAATGCACTGGAAGTAGCCCGACAAAAGATATTTATTGTCCAGAAAATACAAGTGGGGAGTGTGACTTGCCCAGTTGCAGGGAGTGCTGATAGCAGATGCAGGTGCAGGATTCTGTTTAGAAACAGCTCACACAGAAATAATTTTTGGCCTTTAAGAACAAAGCTTTTTAACACTATTTGTTCTAACAACAACCTGAACTCCAGAAACTGGAGGCTAATTGTAAACCACATGTGGTCAAGAGTTTCAAAGCAGACCGAGGATTACAGCTGTGTGATGAGGTTCATGGTGGTTGTAAGTGCCAACACCGCTAATAGAAGTTGCCTTCAGCCACCTCTTAAAAAGCAGAATGCCTTAGATTTTATGAGAAACTAAAAGGTGGTTTTATCATCTGATGGAATCAGATCTCTAATTTAGTTTCCCCCAATTTTTTTTTGTGTGTAAAATAGTGACTATATGTAAATCTAAATATATTTTGTATAGGATTGAATGGCACCTAATTTTTGTTATTAAAAAGGATGTCTATTGAAAATACTAAATTTTTTTGTTGAAGTCATAATTAATTTTTTCTAACATGGAATGAAATAAAATGAAAATGGACATCTCAATACAGCTCTGTTATTTTTGAACACCATAGAGGAGTGAAATAGTACACTCTGCTTACACATGAGCATATATCTTTGGGCTGACTACCAGATAATTTCTTATATTTGTCTGAGGCATTAATTTGAATTTCTAGGTGAACTCAGAAAAGAATTTTAAAAAATCCTAAAATACAAGAATTCCAAAATCCATCTTATAATAAATTTATTGGTAAATGTATAATGTGTCAGAGCAGAAACAAATATGAATGATGGAGCACAGGGCAATCTTTCAAAAATGAAGTCATAAAAACTTAATGTGTCTGGAAGAAAATGAAGCCCAAATGTTTCACATTACATTTAGGAAAGGAGTGTGTTTTAATACGACTTAAAATTTTTAACTGTACAGCTTGTTGTAATGGACAATATAATGGCTGGATGAAAAGAAAAATATTTTAAACCAAACTGAAAGTAAAATTACATTTGCTGCTGCAAATAAAACTAGTTACTGGTTGTAAGATACTCCATGCATGGATGCCCAGACAAATGCCAAGTATTATTGTGAAAAATGTTGAATGGAAATGCAAGGAATCTGGCAGTTGAAAGAACCACAACAGATAAAACAAAGAAAAGATGTAAATAAAGTGGATCTTACTCCAGCCTAAAGCAGTAGAATTTAATATAACAATAGTTTAAGATCTTGGCATGATACTTAGGCTGTTGCTTGCATGAATCTAAAAACTGTGGGACAAAGAACACAAGCTCTGGAGTCATATTATGTTTTCAAGGGTGACGAGCACAAATTTATCCTTGAGATTCCAAGTTGAATGCCTTAATATAACTCTGCAACTTATGTCATTTTGCACCTATATGCAAATATCAGATGTTTTAGTACACTTTAAAAATCCCATTTTCTCCAGAGAATAATTGTGCATAAGATATCCATTGATTACTACTTTTATATGCCTTCATTGAAATATCTAGAATGATTCACTGCCCTTGATTAATTAGTGCCTTTAGTGAACCTTTCTGATCAAGGAGATCAAGGTTTGTGAAGGCAAAATGTGGGGCCAGTCTCAATCAGGGTCTGTTTCATGGGACAGAGAATATGTTGGGAAGGGCATCTGTGGAGCAAACAGGCCATTGAGAAGTGAAGATAAGGAGCAGGGATGATAAGGAGCAGATTAGCTTTTATATTCAGGATCTCCTTGACTTCGCCAAGCTATATAGGGCAAAATTAGAGACATGCCTATTGGGAGCTTCTGCATCAACTTCAGAGGAGAAAGTTATACTGAGGACATCTTAGAAGTCTGATTGGTAGGAAACAGAGGAAGAGGCCTTTTCCAAAAAACTAATGGAAACTTTATACCTGCAGACACCTGTTGTTATGGGTGGCCTCAGCAGTCCAGACAACTGCTATGTGGATAATGGGACTTCATGCAGACGACCCAAGGCTGGACTGTGGGGGCAACACATTTCCAATGCAAATGTTGGAGAGGCTGCACAGGGGTGTTAGTCTGGAGGACTTACTGCCCACAGACTGAGGAGGAGTGATGAAAAATGCAGTCACTGGTGTCATCTTAAGCTGCGGAAAGCATAAGGCAAGGGAGTTCAGGATTTGGAGGAAGGCAGGAAACAAAACTCTAGGGTTAGGGATCTAGACTTTCAGAGAACAGACTTGGTTATTCAAGAAATTGCTGAGCAGAGTCCTCTGTGATGCAGCTATGCAGCAGAGTGCCCAACACAGCTGGATGACTCCTTCAAAATGAACTCATTTGAGGGATCAGGAACAAGCCATCCTTTTCTGTGGCAAAACTAGAAGTTTCAGCAAAAGGCCAGCTTGACTGAAAGGGTGAATTTTGATGAACTAAAATACAAATGGTGAACACGTTTGAGACGGAGACAAGGACAACAAAGGATGAATATAAAAGGATCATTAAGGTACTTAGGAACAAAATCAGGAAAGTAAAAGCCCAGATAAAGCTAAAAATAGCTTAATTAAATTGAATAAGAAGGACAAGTTGCAAAGGAAAGATTTGGGGCTGGTGGTGTATAAGAGAAAACATAGTGTGGGTTATATGGAAAAGGCTGAAGTCCTCAGGGCGTTTTTTACCTTTCTCATTGCAGGCAAAACCTTCTCCCTGATCCCCACAAATACTGGAATAGTTTGGGAAGGAGCCAGAACAGTGTGAACAGGTTAGAGTCCACTTCATATGGACATGTTCATATTCCTGGGAGTAACCTAAAGGTGCTGAAAAAGTTGGCTGCTGTAGTTGCCTTCCTGGCTGCTGTGATTGCAAGACTCCTGTGTGTTGTCTGTGAAAAATTGTGATGAATGGAAAAAGTGAACAGTACAGTCATGTTCAAGAAGGGCAAAAAAGAGGATCTGAAACACTGTCAGCTGCTGGCCCACCTCAGTCTCTGTGAAGATCATGGTGCATGATCTTCTCCTGGAACCCTTTTTTAAACTCAAACAGGACAAGGAGGTAATCAGAAACAGACATCCTGATTGCTTTCTGTAGTGAAATGACTGGTTATAAGAATGAGGAGAGAGAAATGAATATACCTTTAGCAAGGTTTCTGATCCCAGATCTATAATCTGGAAGCTGAGAATGTATGGGCTGGATGATCAGACCATTGGGTGAGTTGAAATGACTGTGTTCAAAGTATTCCAGAGTTGATAACGGAGCTGATGTTCCTCAGTGTTTTTATCAGTGACCTGTATAATAAAGCAGAAAGTACTGTTCAGCAAATTTGCAGGCATCACTAAGACAGGGAGGAGCTGTTGATACAACAAAGGACACAATTTCTATCCAGAGTAGCCTTAAGCAACTTGAGAATTTTGCCAGCATGAATTTCAACAAGAAGAATAGCTATCTGCACCTAGAAAACTGGGAACAGGTTAGGTGAGAAGCAGCCTTATTGCAGGAGACCTTGAGAATACAGTGGAGGGCAAATAGAGTTACTGGCTTGAGTAGGTTGAAAAGGTTTTTGGAGGCTGACTTGTTGATCCTTCTGCCATTAGATGAGGTTACTCAGAGCATTGTCCTGTTATGTTTGAATATCTCCGCACTATAACTTGATACAGTGCATATCTACCCTCATGTTGAGAATTTTCCCTTATGCTGAGTTGGAATTTGCTGTGTTCCAGCATGTGATTTTTACCTGTTGTCCTTTCTGTCCCTCAGAGAAGAGTAGCTCTGTTCACTCTATACTCTCTCAGTGTATTGCTGTAGATAGCAATAATATATCCCACTGCCTTCTTTCTCTCTACTGACCAAACTCAACTCCCTCAGTTTCTTTTTGAGTATCTTGTGCTTCAGCCTCCTGACTACCTTGGTGGCTCTCATGCTGGAGTGATCCCAGAGGCCAATATCTTTCTTCTACTGGAGTGAGCCCAAAGTGGGATACAGAACATGTGGTCTCACAAAGCTGGAAAGAGGGAATAGTCACTTCCTTTGACTGTTGGCTAAACTCTAAATACAGCCCCAAAGCTGGCTGTCTTCCTTTGCTGCATGTGCACACTACTGACTCATTGTCAGTTTCTTTTCCACAGGGACACCAGAGGCTTTTCTGAAAAGCTGCTTGAATAGGAGCCAAGAGTGTACTGCTGTTATGAGCAAGGAGAAGTGGATAATGGGCTACTGCACACATTGGGAAGGTGTGGCCAAAAGATTGGAGGAATTTATTATAACCCTCCACATGGCTCTGGTAAGACTGCATCTGGAATGCTGCAACCTGTTTTAAGTCCCCTTTTCCAGTGGTTGTTGGGAATGGTAAGAGTCTAAAGGAGGCCTTTTTCAATGGTCAGGGATTTTGAACAGATGGCCTTTGTAGAGAGGTTGCAACAGCTGGGCTCATTCAGCACGGAAAAGGGGAAGCTAAGGGATAGTCTGGCAGCAGCCTACAAATTTTTGAGTGGTAGTTGCAAAGGCTATGGAGCTTAAGTCTTTGCAGTAGCGGCAGATGACATGAGACAACAGCAGAGTTTTAGTTTGAGGCATTGGACATTGGGAAAAACTTTCAGTGGACAGTAGAGAAGCAGAGGAATAGTTCACCCAGAGAGCTTGGGTAAACTTGGGGATTTTCAAGCCTTGGCTAGAAAAAGCTATGGCAGACCTGATGTAGAACTGGAAATTGTTCCTCTCTGAGTGGGATTTTGAGATCTGCAGGGATTAATTTCAGAAACATTTCTGTTTCTATAATCCAATGCTGTTAGGCAAGAAGCCCTCAGATAAATAAACTGTGCTGCTAACCAATCACCAATACTTTTCAATACTCAAGGTGGCACAGCTGGAAAGAACAACCTTTTCCACTGATAAGCACCAAGAAGAATGGAATCCTTTTTTTCTTTTTAATTTGAACTTGTCTTTAATCATTCACATGGTGATTTTGACCTTTCTGCCTAATCTCTGTAGTTCTCCTTAGCTAGAAACAAAACCACTTACATTAGGGTAGCTAAAAATAATACAGGATTAATGACTATTCTGCTTAAAGAAGGCTGAAAGTCTACTGTTACTATTTCTTCACTTATCTGTCATCGCATTTCACAGAAGTTAGTGTTCTAAAATGAAAGATGGTGAGGAGGGCATATTTGCTTGGAAGTTATAGTTAATAACGAGAAACTGATAGTAAGGACTATTGGTGTAGTGGCAACTACTATAAGGACTGAGATTCTTAGTGTTTTGATCTCTCTTCTAATGGATGCTGAAGCAGTGGCAGGAAAACAAATTTCCCAATGAACTTCACTGGTAATTTAGACATGTGCAAAAACTGGCTGTGAAAGAATCCAGACGTTTTAAACAATGCACTAAAATTTGTTAATTTATTCTTCATATAGTTGCTAGTACAGATGAAAGTATCATTAGAGAAAGAAACTTATATGTTAGTTTATATTAGCTTAGTAATGTTGTCATAATACTTGTATTAACCTATGTTCAGTAGATTCATACTTGTTCACCTCAAATATGATCAAGGGCATACTTCTTTGTGTGTCACATTTATATATGAATGCATTATCCTGGCATTAGTTAATTTGCAAGAAATGTATAAGTTGGAAAAAGAGGACTCTTTTTTTATATTCTGACAATCAGTACAAGTAGGGCAGAAGAGTTCATGCCTGGTATTCCTTATTTTGAATGAGCAGGAAGCATGACATGAACTGCATTGTCTATATGTGTCATCCAATAATGCAGATGATGGAGGGGAAGCTGGTGTCGTTGGCAGTGTTAAACAGCTTGCTCTCTGCAGTGAAAAATGGGCATTGAACTCATGAATTTTGTTATTCCCACAGAGGCAAAAAATAAGGCCTGCACAGAACTCTGACATAATAGCAGAATTTTAATTATTCTCATTATGAAAGTTTTATTAAATGGGTACTGATGCCTTTGAATGTTTAAGATTTTTAGCTTTTTGTAGATTTTAATGTAGCTGGAGTTTTCCTTCACTTCAGACCATTACTTTCTCACAGTTTGTGTGTCACATTCCCGAAGCTTCGGTTCAACCATCTTTTAACTGTCTTTTCAAGGCAATAGATATTCAGCAAGAACATTCCGTTGGGACCTGCACCTGGACTGGAATAGCAAGAGATATGGTAGACAAAACAAGATAGAAGGCTCAAGGTCCTTGGAGGAGCTCCAGAGGGGTAGTTCTGAGAGTGGTATCAGGGCATGAGGGGTCTCAGGATTGGATGTCCCCATTAGATATGATTATTAGTAAAAGACATAAAAGTGTAAGAATTCTGTATGTGGGGCGTGCGTCTTTGTACTCCATGGCCAGGAGGCCTTCATTAGAAGAGCTACTCTCTATCTTATCTAATATTGCCAGGAGAGTTTTTTTCTCTCCGTTCTTCAGGTTGGGAAATTGCACCCTGAGAGTAGTTCTTCTGCTGGTGTATTTTGGAGAATTCCCCACAAACCAATTTCAATGAAGTTTTTGGCAGGATACGAACAGCTGTTCCAAGCTGATCAAGTGGTTGGAATTTTTTGAAATATTATGGTCTATGATGTTTACTGGAGTCAGACAACAAGAGTTAGTTCTCTTGTTCTAAACGGTGAGTTAATTTTTAAATGCTTAAATAGCATTCAGTTCTAGACCAAAAGTAATGTCACATTGCAATAAAACAAGTATTCCTTTGCAAAGAGAAAGCTTAACTAAAAAGCTGGAGGACTATGCCATTTGGAATGCAGATATGAAGTTAAGCACTGATCTGTTTAGATTGGAGTAATTCAAGGAATGGGAAATTTCAAAATGTTTTGCAGTAGTCAATATTGTTGAAGAGGTGACCTGGCAAAGCACAAAGCCTGTGTGTCAATTGCCAGAAAACCATTACTTCTATACTGTAAGTCATAAAAATATCTTTTGGTACTCAAATCTGCAGGTCTTTACTTCAATACATCTCCAATAATAATACCAAATGTTAGGTTATGTATAACAGTGTATGAACTTCCAGTTCTACAAATACACATGAACTGCATATTCTGCTTGTGAAAAGTCCAAAATCAATGGAAATATTTTTGCATGTGAAATTAAGTATGCACATAAGTGAGAGATAAAGGCCTGAGCAGTGTGTTTGCTTTCTTTCATCTGTATTTATGTTAGAGCCCTGCCATGGGAAAAACATTAGATGTTTTTCAAGGAAATCTAGTTCAGAAAATAGTCCTGTTTCAAGGATTGAGATGAAGTCAAATACAGGCTCTTATAAGTCTCTTGGAAAAACTGCCCCTTACCTAGAGGTTAAGAAAGAAAGAAGCTGTTTGGAGGGAGTTCAAACTGGGAAGTGGGCCATAATGGTCCTTTTAAGCCATAACTACCTGGATAGATGTCTACAACATCCAAGGTATGCAGAAAATAATTCAGAAATATCTGATGACCTGACTTCTGCAGAACATCTAATAAAGATGAACGGTGCAGAGCATAGACTGTGACCTCCGTCTCAGTTAAGGAACTGTGACAAATACATTAGGGTTCTGATTGCAATTTTTAACCCAAGATCTGCAGAGCCTCCTTATTTGTGGTAAAACTCTTTGTCCCTTTATGGAATAAGCAGTACCAGTGCAGTTATCAAAGTTCTCTTTTGTTTTATTTTGCAAGTTAGGAAGGTACCAATGAGAAGTTGCTTTTTAGATAGACAGAGTATGTTCGCTAGAGATTTTGAGAAGTGTTTTCAATAAATTTGAAGAATGTTTTGAAGCAGGTGAAAAAAAGAAAAAACTGTATTTCTGCAACAGAACTTTATCCTTCTTATTCCTACATATCTGGATATACCATGTTCCTGTTGTATCATAAAGCCCCATCTCCTAGCTTTCTGCTAACTCTCCCTGCTTTAGACTTTCCTCTTCCATTGTTGTGCGTACAGCTTGACTTAAGCCCTTTGGAAATTTTTTGCACCGTACTTAATTGTCTCTTGTCAAATAACTCACAAAAGACCAGCTCAATTTTTAATTCCCAGATGAGAAAAACCTGTATAGAGTCATAAAACAGTTTGGATTGGAAATGACCTTTAAAGGTCATCTAGTCTAACCTCCCTGCAGTAAGCAGGGACACCTTCAACCAGATCAAGTTGCTCAGGGCCCCATCCAATCTGACCTTGAATGTCTCCAGGGATGGGGCATCTATCACCTCTCTGGGCAACCTGTTCTGTTGTTTCACCACATTCATCGTAAAAAGTTTCTTCCTTGTATCTAGCCTAAATAGACCCTCTTTTAGTTTAAAACCTTTACCCCTTGTCCTATGGCAGCATGCCCTGCTAAAAATCTGTCCCCGTTTTTCTTATAAGCCCCCTTAAAGTACTCAAAGGCCAGAGTAAGGTGTCTCTAGACTCTTCTCTTCTCCAGGATGAGCAATCCCAGCTGTTTCAGCCTTTCCTCACTGGAGAGATGTACCATCCCTCTGGTTGTTTTTGTGGCCCTCCTCTGCATCTCCTTCAATAAGTCCATGTCTTTCCTGTGGTGAGGACCCCAGTTCGGGACACAGCTCTCCATGTGGGATCTCATGGGGGCCAAATAGATGGGGATAATCACCTCTCTTGACCTGCTGTCCACTCTTCTTTTGATGCAGCACAGGATATGGTTGGCTTTCTGGGCTTCAGGTATGCATGGCTTGGTCATTCACCAGAATCCCCACTTTCTCAGCAGAGCTGTTCTCAGTCTGTACATCCCTCAGCCTGTATTGATACCAGTGTTTGCTCCAACCCAAGAGCACTTGATCCTGTTGAACTTGTGAAGTTAACATGAGCCCAATTCTTGAGCTTGTCCAGGTCCCTCTGAATGGCATCCCGTTACTCAGATGTGTCAGCCATACCATTCAGCTTGAGAAAGACTGTGCCTTCTGATTGTGAATTCCCATCATTCCAAAGGAAACAGAAGATGTTAGGCAAATCCACTAAGACAGGCTTTTATTCTGTTCCTGGTTAAGTCTTGTTAACCTGTTAACCTTGTTATGTTGAGGTCTAGTAAGAAAATCAGTGACAGTACATGTGGTACTAATCACATTATTTTCTCCTCTAAATTACAATGCTACTAAACTTTCTAATAAGAAAGCCTGCCATTTTTGTGAACAAAAAGCCATTACATGTTTTTTACATTTCTTTCTGTTGCTATATTGTTCTGAATGCCTAAACCCACTGCTCATTTTATTGGCTTAACTAACACACATTTGTGCTTCTGGCACACTCTACTAAGCTTGAAGTCTGGTGGAATAGAATGCAAAAAATACCTAAAGGGCCAAAAATATGTAGGTGCAGTTTTTAGCTTTTTTGCTTACAAAATACCATCCTATTTTGTTTTGGGAAAAGAAAAAAAAAAAGGATTATGAACAAAGATGTAGCTTTGCCAACACACCATTAGGAAGTACCGAGTTTTATCAAGGATACAAAAACAAGGAAAGGAATCTTGGCATTCCAGGTCACTCGTATTTATAGGTATTTTTTAAAAAACACCTATAATTATTATATATTTTTTTTAAAAAAATCTCAGTTCAAATGTGAATAAAGTTAGTAGATTATGACTTTTTTGTGTCATCTAACAGCCAAATCAAGGAAATAAGAGGAAGCTGAACTTCCTCTATGTCGATGGTAAACTAGAAGTAATAATCCCCTGTTGAATTTTTCTTAAGAAAAGTGAGGAATAGAAAACAGCCTCCATCCCAGTTCCTTGCCCATAGGATTTGTAACACCAGCACACAGAATAATATTGGACCTGCAGTGATTGGTTGTGATGAACCAACAGCAACCTCCAAAGACGCCATCCTAATAAATCTGACTGCTGGCAGCTGTGAGTGCTTCAGCATGATTTCAGGGTGAAGTCTCCTCCTTACAGACCCTTACAGGTTCCTAAAATTCTACTAGTAAAATGATTTAAAATTAGGAATTCCAGTACTGCTGATTTCTTGGCAGACTGGGAAAAATCTGCACTATGCAAGCAGTTCATCACTAGTTTTTTGTGAAAGAATATTATTTCTTTGAGTTGACTTACTATAAAATAGCCCTGGTTTAGAATTTCTCATTCAATTTGCTATGGTTGCCTGACAAATAAGAGACTCTGCTGCAGAGAGTGAATCTCATATAATGGTAATGTGTACTTGTAACAAACAGATAATATAGAAATGCCAAAAACAATGTTTTACCATTGTTTCTGCATGTCAAAACTTCCTACCAAAAATTCTCTGTCAGCTTTCCTGCCAGAAGCCCTTACCAGAGTTTCTTGCTAGAGTTTTCCAGCCAAAAGATCCTGCTATTGTTTACAGTTATCATATCTCTTCACACATCTGAATAGGGCTACATGCCAAGAAACCATGTACAATCTCCTTTAAACACTATAAAACTCGAGGAAAAATTTTGGAAAATCAGGAGGAGGAAAGGAAGAGAGAACCAGTTACCCTAGCCAAGAATCTCTCCCCACATTGCCCTCACCTTTTCTCTACCACCACATGCTGCCTGCCTGCCATCTGAGACTGAAACTCTGCTGGCCTGGAGAAGAACTGACACCCACCGTGCCACATGCATGAGTTATACCTTATCCTTCTACCCTTACCGAGGGCTGAAAAGTGCTGCTGCTGAGGATCGGGACCCTCTCCGTCCTGGGACATGGCTCAAACGTAAGCGGCAAAGCCGCACATCCTGGCTGCATTCCTGAGAACTAAGCTGTTAAGACACACCCCCCCCAACCCGGCTCGGCACAAAGGTAGTTTTGTGGTAACTCTCCTATGCTTCTAAAACTAATCTTAGCTTTTTCCAACTTTTCCTTAATTTTTCCTCTTTCTCTTTGCGTCTCAGCATCTGGTATCAATAGATAACTCTGTGCGAGTTTTAATTTTGCTGGGGGAATATCCAAATCTGAAGTTTTCTACAACATTTAAGCAGATTGTAACAGTACTTTATTTGGTGTCCTACTTCTGATCACCTTTATGTTGGCTTATTATGACCACACTGTGGCTCAAACATGCTTTCTGGTGTCTTTGTTCTCTAGGTCAGAGCTTCCCATATTTTCTCATTTGGGTCCTGCCATTGTGCAGATGGTAAGTATTAACAGCAGCAGTAGCTCTTGTTTCTGTTGTGGCCCATATGCACGTGAGGAAAGACTTACACCTTGACTCTTGCTCCTTCATCCTTCTGTCACATATTATCTCCTCCTTAAACTC